ATATATATATATATATATATATATATATATATATATATATATATATATATATATATATATATATATATATATATATATATATATATATATATATATATATGGATCAAAAACGATCTTAGGAAGAGAACTCTAACTCGCATCTAGGTAGATGGAGTTCCTTAGTCCTGTAAGGCTAACGGTCTGAGAGAAGGATATTTAACAAAACAAAATCCTGAGCACTTCACTGTTATCGTCTTAGCTTGCTAGGCCCTAACAAATGAAGATTAGGAGTAAAAGACGGGAACAGTTTTGTGCAAGTTCTGCCTTACCAAAAAAACCTACTGCCCAGGCTTGAAGATACATCTACATTTGTAGCATTTGCAACAAGTATGAACAAAATCCTTCCCAAATTTTCGTTCGTAAAGCCCAACTATAACGATAATATATGCCGTCACATTTTATAAATCTTGTCATTTTTAACATAATAAATTGCTTGGAATTAAGAAAAAATATAATAATAATAATGTGAAGAAGTGTCAAAACTCACATGCTGAGCGAAGATCGTTGCAGCCGATGGGCCATTATCATCTTCTACACTTTGTGAACAATGCGACATATCCAAAAAATACGGTGGATCTTCAACAGACTCAAGTGTGTCGTTATCAATTACACCACACGGGATAAAACCGTCTTCACCACGTTGTGTTCCAATAGGAACTCGAATAGGGATTGCCTCGGATGTTGCTGGCATACTCCAGTTTTCTGGATGCTCAAATCCGTGGTGTTATTACTACCACTACTACGACTGCTGCTGTTATCACTAACAGCGATATCACTATCTACAGGTATGAATTCCTTAGCAGCTCAAGGATATAATCGTAATGAAGAATTGTATAGAAGTAGTTATTGACCAGCCCGCAGCAACAATCGTCGATATACGATGATGACAAATATTCACTTTTTGTTAGGCACTGCAAAACTGGAATTTGAAAAGAAAGAAATGTTTTTTTTTTTTCGTCCAAAATACTGCTTCAGATGCGTTCGAAGTGGTGGAAAGTGTACAAAAACGTTTCCTTTCGAGTACCACCAAATTCAAATCTACGTAAAATAATCTGAAACATCGAACAACATTCATTCAATATATAATTTAAAATAGCAACGCCATCATCATGAATCACAGAAAAAAAAAAAAAAAAAACTAAATAAAACGAAAAAGCCAAGTGAGATGAGTTAAAGAAGGCTTTTAGAAGATGAGAAAATCAAACATCATTAAAATCAAACAATCTCAAGACTTGTTATCTAGTACACTTTATTTAATATCAACACAAATAATATTTGATTTGATAAGCAAGATTTTCACTAAAATTTGATCAAGAATTACTACTAATACTTTAGCATCCTAACAAGCAATTATTTTTTGTTTTGCATTTGAAATCATTTCCAATAAGCAGCTTTTATATTCAACTCTAAGAATTAAATATCTATAATTTTTCTTCCTTCTATCACCCATCTTTCAATATCCCATTAATTTATCATAAACGAAGAAAAAGACATTGTTTATTGTTATTATTATTAATTATTATTACCATTACTATTATTGTTATTATTA